AAACATTTTAATGACATGAATTCAGGCTTTTAAACAAGGATTTTTTATTTGAATAGCCTGTGTAAATTGATAACAATTGTATTGAAATGTCAAGGTATATGACATAGTAATAAACGATTATCGTGCGTTTCATTTTTTCACAATTATCAAACTTTTTTGATCGTTTTTGTCTCGTTTTTTTACAGAGTAATCATACGTTGGAAACAATGGTCATTAGCCGTGAAGTATTTCAGTAGGTTTCATTTTCTTTTGATTTTTAAAAACAACATTGTTGTTGGCATGAATATTATTCGAGCTTGTAAAAGGTCTTTTAGATTATTTAAACATCGTTCTCTTAAAAGCATGACTAAGTGAAAGTGGGTTTAAGGAGAAAGTGGGTTTGAAGCAAAAGTTCATTTCAAGTTCAAAGTTCATTACGGAAGTTTTCAATTCATCCAAGTAAGTTAAACTGTGTATCATATTTTTTCGTGTTATCAAATTGAGTTTAAAAACCCAGCCTGTTGTCACGAAGTACTAAAACATATTACAAAATTTTATCAATATTTAACAGTCTGTTGCATCATTAACAAATCTTTCACTTTCCATCATTTTATATACTTCTTTCAATTATGTAGTTGTTGTAAATGTAGGCCTTTTGTCAATAGCTGAAAGTGAATATAAGAAGATATTTCTAATGTAAAGACCGGCAGCTGGGAAAAGCTAACTGTATTAGTCAAACATTTGATTTTAAAGTTCAATTTGCTGAATTGTTTTCGGCATTGTTGTCATACAGAACCTTACGTACGTTATTTAATTAATACGACAATTAAAAATTGATTGTGTTTTATTTCGTTAAAAGTGGATGTAACTTTGCCCAAAACTAGCTCACTAAGATATTAGGTTTATTGGGAAAAATAGAAAGTTTCATAAGAAAACGATTATTCGATACTTTATTTGATTAATTTTTTACGGTTATTTACATCAATGAAACGCAAACATAGTTAACTTCCAAGTTTTTCATATATTTCGACTTCATAAATGACATTTTCTTGGTAAAGAGCATCGTCCAATCAAGCAAATCATTTCACTGATCAACATCAATTTTCAGCTCAGATGGAAAAGAGGAAAATGGGTGCGTTATATCTCAATCAATTATCAACTTATTCATGCATGGCTTTCATTTTTACAAGCTATTACTGAATCTGTATTACTATTATTAGTCGACCATTTAAGATTTAGTTTCAATGATCTTCATGTTCAAAACTTCATTTCAACAAGCTTTTATTGAATATCCCATTAATATATTCAATCCAGATTAATATGCTTACATCCTCTCCCACGAGACTGCTGTATTGAAATACAGCAGTTATTAATTTTCAAGTCTTGGCTCTTTCAATCTGGAAAGTCCTCAAATTTCTACCTACAAGTTGAAAGATATTTATGTGCACGATCTAAGCAGAGGTTCGACTATACTGATGGACAAGGCATACATATACACAATAAATGGGAGAATGGCATGTTTTATAACTAGTGACGTCACCTTTGTTGAAATATCTTAACTCGTCCAAAACTGCAACTTATAAAAATTACTAAAAGGGAAGGAAATATAGAGGAAGGAATAATTTCAGTTGATTGTAGAAAATCTTATTTCACATTGAACTCAATATAACTTTTAGGGTACCACAACTTTTCTATACCTTTAACAAGTGAAGATTTCTCTGTCAATCTTAAATTAGTATAGTTGTAAACATATAAATATTACATAGAAGTCAAAAATATCAAGAGAGATACGAGTGTTTTAAAATACAGTTCTTTAGTTGGATCTTTCGCTTGTTCTTTTTTCATTTTAAGAGCAGTTCCTGCGATGAAGAGGAAGAAAAATGTTCATTTCATATAACTGTTAACTTTACTGTTTTTAACTTGAAAATCTTTCGTTATCATCACCATTTTTTTCTCATTCTACATGACATTTCCAAATCTTCAAATACTAGAAAAACGAAGATTTTAAGTAGCTAACATAAAACGACTTATTTTCTGATTTAGTTTGCAAGAATGCAAAGCAAAATTATGATTTAGCAACAAAACTTTACATTTGAACACGTGTTCTCTGTACGCCTTCAGATCTAATCTCTGAGTGACCACAAATGAGCCTTGCTTTACAAATCCATTTTGTGAACGTTACGACATCCAACTATCGAACAATTAAAGTGTTGGCATTTTAAGCAAAATGCCAATAAGACATCGTGTTTGTTTTTAAAAAATTTTTTGAAAATATGAAAGCAGAAGTCTTTTTTCCTGTCTATTGGGCATTATCGCCAAAAAAATGTGTACAACGCGTCCTCATGCCGGCCATTATTCCAGCCAGATGATTAGGATTTCTCACTTGTTTCCAACCATTAAAATTACATGACGTCAATACTTAATAATGAATACAAATATATTTTGACTCAAGCAATGACTTCGGATCATTTTAAAGGTTGGGAAAAAGTCAAAAACCCTAATCATCTGGCTTGAATAATGATAATCGCAGCACGACATGCGCGAGGACTAAAACATCGAAGGCTTCGATACGAGCGACTTTCTGCATATTCTTTTTCTTAACATTACTGTAAAACTACACCCAGTATTTGTGTATACGTGTATACATATGAATCAAAATGGCGTCGATCAAAAGATCAAAAGACATGAAAATGGTCAAAATATTGAACTGGTGAAATACTGTAAAGTGTTTTTGAGGATGGAAACAAGTGAATTTAGACTATTTATGATGTATCCTGATCACACTGTAGTAATCATTCTGTCTGAGGATGATTTTGAAATAAATTCGAAAATTTACAGTTTACATCTCGTCTTGTTTTGATTCATACTTTGCAATCTCAAGATGTCTTGCTTCTTCGGAATTTGTTTTATATTATACTTCTTTAAATTGTCGGCAGGTCATGGTTTTCGTACTAATCCTCAATCGTGTTAAAAATACTGCCCGATGGGGGGCAAGATACTGAACGTTAATCGGCGGTCGGCTACAGAATTTGGTCTAAAAACAAAACTTGTGTCAATGTTTGAATCTGAGTTTAATATTCATCTCATATTCATATTCGATTTTATTCTAAATTTCAGATTATAATATTTACAGTAAATAGCTGTAATTGCGTAATTGTCTGACGTTTCATAACAATTTATGACCGCCATTTATGTCTTTAATAATGATGTCTTCTAAGAAACCAAAACATCCCGCAAATACTTCTAGGAAGGATCTATAAATGAAATTCAATGTGAATAATCGAGAATAAACGTCACTTGGAATTTCGGAGTGCTCTGTTTGAGAAGATTTGAAAATATTGTGAACGTACCAAAGATTTTGTGATGTCAGAGCAGGAACATATTTTAGAGATAGATCCATCTCATGAGCTTCATTTTAAAGGTATATCGACCTTTTTTGGTTGAAATTGATCTTCACATAATCAAATGTAAACCTGCACATTCATGTTTTGCGAGCCAATTCTCTATTTGGAGTTTCTTTGCAGTTAGTTTCACAAAATCTATTTTATATTTGACAAACGTTTTATTGTGACGAGTGGTGAAGCTTGTATGGCTGTTGAATGTCATAAGAATAGAAGACCATGATTTTTTTAATATGCTTTTGAACTACTTTAAGTACTTACATTTAGAAACACTCTATTATGCTTATAACAAATTTCATGGATTTCTCATTGTAAATTAATTTAACCTGCATTACAAGCAGTGTTGTGAAGCATGTATTTATGAGCATCCTAATACTGTGCTCACATTCCAAATTGCTTGCCAAATTATCTTTCTATCTAGTATTAAAAGCCATTTTTAACTTTGCTACAATTTTGCATGGGCACTCTAATGAAATTTGACCAAACAGATTGCAGAACAGCTCATATATTCGGAGTAAAATTCTGTACACTAGTATTGTATTGTGCAATATATGAATAAGTTTTCCAAGCGTCAATCTAAAT